ATTAATCATTGCAAAATCTTAAAGACTTAATGATTGATGTTAAAATGTTACTAATATCAGTTCTTTTCTTAGGTGGTCCATATTCAAACCTTTCTTCATACAACAATGTACATATTTGCACCTTTTCTGCCAAAGCATAATTCTTTTTCCAATACTTAGGGTACACACAATTTCCCCAAATCCATAAAGTTACATACAGCTGAAAAACATGCAGTGTGTACGAGTCTATACACACAAGATTGTTTTATTGTTTTATCCTACAGCCCACAGCAATCTCTCCTATCATTTCTTATTGTCTCACAGACATGGCTACCACTGCCAACAGTCTATCTACCTCTCCTCACAGTTCTCACAAGAGCCAGTCTCCCTCTGTCTCCAAGCAACCAGTCTGTATGGAAATCAGAACCCTAAAATGAGAAGAGCTGTGGACAGAACAGGTGACCACTATTCCAAAACATCCTGATAAAGCACATTCATCTTGCAGAGGCCTCTTTCAAGGGAATGCCTTTGAGTCCCCTTAAACGTCCACTTCATTAAGAAATACAGAAACACATGATGTGTTTAAGTCTAGTTAGATAATGTTAACCTGGTTTGGACCCATTTCCTCCTGGCCTAACCCCTTTCCGTTTTCCCTGCTTTCTCACTAGAGATCATACATAAAAAAACTCTACTCTCTTTTGCAGGAATGATTTTTACATCCAGGCCCTTTGGTGCTACCAACAAGTTTAGTAGGATCCTGTCTATCTTTATAATAGATTCTGTCTGAAGGCTGATCCATCTCTGACTCTTTTTCTATACTAATTTCTCCATAAAATCTAACACTTATAAACTGAATTTTCTATAGAATGTGGAAGATGATTACTGATATGTTTTAGGGACCCAAGTTATCAGCATCTTTGGAACTGCACCTCAGCCACCAGAGCATAGAAAAGCATGCCTCTCTCAGAGGAGTGTTTCCCAGAATTAAGATCCAGGAGTGTACTGAGGGAAAAGAAATTCCTATACCAAATAAAAACAAAACAATCGGAGATTCCTTCTGAATGCCAGCCTTCCAGAATTGTAAAAGAACTGATAGGAAGAAAGAAGTATATAATAGCAGGAAGGTGACCACAGTTTGCAGGGTCTTTATGTGTGCTCGGGTACTGACATCTCTGGAGCCTTTGGCATTGTAATATATGTTCTTCAGATGTCTCCACAGGGAGAAGATGAGCAGGAGGAAAGTTATCAGACACATAGTAAAGGGGATGAGTGTGAACATAGCTGTGGTGATTAATATAAGCCTGTAAACCTGAGTATATTTACTTGAGATAACACTGTAGGACATATTTGCTTCATGACCATCAATCCAGACATCAAAACATCTGTTTATGACTAGAATGTTTAAAAACAAAAGGAGTAAAGATGCAAGTAGTGTCACTGAAACCACTTTTTTAACTCTCCACTTTAGATATAGAAAAATAAAGTTTGAATAATTGGCTATCTTAAGAAAGTAAAAGATACTGAGGCCTGTAGCAAGCCAGATACTGAAATGGTTGGTTATTGCCAATTGTATATCAATTATTCTAATAATATTTTTAGTTACAATTGTAGCTTGTTTCATCACATATATCAATACAGTTGTGACTATTGACCACAAAAAAGCAATTCTAGAGATGGCAAGAGCCATGAGGATTTGGTCCGTTGTAGAAATTGTTCTCCTCTTGACCCAGTTTTTGATGTTCACCAGCACTATGAATACATTTCCTAAACTTCCCATTAAGAGCTCGACACTTAAAATTATTAGAATTATTGCACGTAGGACAGCACTCATTATAACCAATAAGATGCTGTGATTTCTACTACACACTTAAGGATCTGTCAATGCAATCTTCTAAAATGTTACTTCTATATAATTCTTGAAAATTCATAGCATCCAGCATAAACTCCCATACACAATATCAAGCAACCTTTCATTTACTACTGAGTTAGTTTTTAGTTTTGTTCACAAAACTAAATACAATATAGATGGAGCTCATGCAGCTAGTGAGTGCCTCCCACACATCATCCAGATGGCCTTGTAGTTGATGGCGATCGAAACACTGAATTTTTACGTCCTGTCATCAAAATAAAGATATTTTTATTTGCATTTGTTTTGTGCGCTATTTCTGTACATATTAAATCTGGATATCTTTTTTTCCTGGACCAGTGATACTGCACTCAAAAATCAAACAGACACAACAATATGAACTTCACTAAATACATCAGTATGATGTCTGTGCAGTGACTTGTGCAAAATTTTTACAGTTCTTATCATCAGTTGATAATCTCATATACACTATTACTCCTTCATTGGTACTGAGAATAGCAAGAAATTTATTTTACAAGCTCATACAAAACTACTGTTTTTTCCATTTTTACCATTTCATACATATAGACAGAAACATACATTTTACGGAAATACAACTTCTCTTCATTCTTTATTTCAGTTATTCAAGTTGACCATTTACTTTTCACTTGTTTTTCATCTAACTCATACTTACTACTGTTACAATTAACAAGATATTCAATAAAATTCCTTCAAGAATAATCAATGCACTGGAAATATAACTACTTTGTAAACTTGTGATTCTTTTATCCCCCTGTGTGAACAAAACTAGAAACTACCCTACTGTGTAATAAAGCAGACAAGAGTTCAAATTCATTCAACTATACTGCAAGAACACTCTTCATTTCCTGTGTCTTTCCTGTTAGTACATCTGTCCCTGACACACACCACAGCAACAAGTTTCATATATTTCTCTCTGCACAGCAATGATATCTGCTCTATTACCTTCACTGTAGGTATCAAGGCAGACTCAGGATGATGCAGCACCTAGACTGGCGAGGAAAGCAGCATGACATCACCAGTCTCCAGGAGCTAAAGAATAGTCAAAGAAACAATGATGCCAATACAACAGAGTGACCAAGATAATATAGAAAATTACAACAAAAGCTTCAGTAAAATTCATGGGGTTGTATAGTCTAGTAAACATAGCCCAGATTAAGTGGCTAACCCATGAAAGCCAGTTTGAGTTTCATGCTAAGATAGTCTACAGCAACAGAAACCTTTAGAGAATGAAGAAAAGGACATGTATTACAATACATCCTGGGGAGCAAACTTAGCTCAGTTATTAAACAGTTTTGAAGGAAATTACTAAGAAGAAAATCATGACCATACCATAATTGCAGAGACAGGAAGATCGTCTTGGAGTTGCTCCTTACATACATACAACAAGGAAGAAGAAAACAATGAAAAATGCAAAACACCCCAGGGGTGGGGCTGAGTAGAGTGGATGCAGTTACTGGAACTTTACGATCCACTCTGGAAAATGATAGAATTCATATTCACTGGCAGAAAGCAACATTCAACCCAGGTACTACCCTGAGCTTTTCCTTTCATCTTCAGCTCTGGATAGGAAGTATTTGAAGTTCCACCTGAATGGCAGTTCCTAGGAGAGAGGCTTTTACAGACAAGATGACAATAGCACCAAGAAAAATTTACATTTATTTCTCTATAGAACAACATGACAGACCATTTCCTCAAAAAGAGCTATTCTCTTTAGGAATGTTTTTATAAATCTTGTATGTATATGTATGCTTATATTAATGAATTTCATGTGTATTTTTCTGATTGACAAGTTTTATATGCTGTTTTATATGCAAAAAAAATTGAAGATGGTTTAACAAACCAATATTCAAATGATGTATCTCTGTATTGAGATCATTTTGTTTATGATGATAGTTCTTCATTTTCTTTTTTAAAATGTATTTTATTTTAAATTGTGTCAATTTGTATCAGTGTGTTCTCCTGGATGCCAGAGGAGTACTCTGAAGCAAAAATTGTGAACTGTTCAATATGGTGTTGTAAATTGAGTTCAGGTCTTCAGGTCTCCTTCTTTTCAAAAGGCATATGGATCTTAACCACTAAGTAATCTCTCCAGTCTCTCATATTTTGCTTTTATGTAATTAGACAAGATTCCAGATCACCATTGCTCTAATTTATCAGAATTTGAAGCAACATATTATGAAATTCATTTTAGTTTATTGTTTTATTGATTATATTTATTTCTTTAAATTTTTCATTACTATTTTATAATGCCATACAATGTGTTTGTATTATATATACCTTCCTCTTCCAGATTCCTCTCAGATCCAACTTTACCTTCCTACATGTTCAACTTTCTATTATCTATCTAAATATATAGCTCGCTAGCTAGCTATCATCTATCTATCCATCTATTTCTATCTCTTTATGCCACTCTCTTTATCTCTCTCCCTCTGCCTTTTTAATCCACCAAATCCACTTTGTGGTATCCAGTATTCTTGTGTATAATACTTTCTGTGGTGTGTGGCTGACCTACAGGGGTTACGTCATTAAGGAAAATTAATTTTCCCTCTCCTAGAAGTTTTCACTAGTGAAACTTCATGCCCTCTCTCTTTAAAAAAAAAAAGAATTTTTTTGACAGTAATAAAAGCTTTGGCTAAAACCAACTTAGGGAAGAAAGAGTTTATTTCACCTCTTGTCTAATTCTATATGTCATTTTCAGCATGTTTTAAAGTGTGAAATTATATTTGTTTGGATACAGGCAAATGTTTTTACCTGTATGACACACACACACACACACACACACACACACACATATATATATATATACACACACACACACATTCCATGCTATTCGTTAATAATATTAAAATTTTCAAAAGTTTATTTCATGGTATAAAATTATATTATACTGATACTAAGAGTTCCATTTGTATAACCCATGTTCACATCCTTGTACAGCAACATGTACCCCTTCATATGGGACAATGAATTTTTCACATAGAATTTTGTAAAATTTACAAAGCTCCAATTGAAGAATAAATCATAAGTACAAATGTAAACATACAGAATCTCTTAAGAATAGGTCTTCCTCCAGAAAATAGGAAACAACGCCTTACATAGTTTAAGGACTTGGGGGTTCTGCAACATTGAGCTTTTACCTTAACCACCACATCATGGACAGAAAAGCCTGTCTGAGCTTAGTGTTTCCCAGAATTAGGACACAGGAGTGGCCTGATGGAAAAGCAAGTGCTGCACCATCAAAAATCAAATTGAATAAACTTTTTAAATGGATATCATTTTTCAAAGACTGCATAACAAGTGCCAGAAAGAAAATAGTATATAGTGACAGGAAGGTGACCACCATTTGCAGGGCCTTTATGCGGGCTGTGGTGCTGACATCTCTGTATCCTTTGTTGTTGTGCTGCATGTTCTTCAGATGTCTCCACAGGGAGAAGATGAGCAGGAGTAAAGTTGTTAGAGACACAGTGAAAGGTATGAATGTGAACATAGTGTTGGTGAGTGTCAGAAACCTAGGAAAGTATTCATAGTCATTTGAATCAGAACTGTAGGACATGTTTGCTTTATATCCATCAATCCAGACAACAATATATTCATTTATGACTTTAAGATTTATAAACAAGAAAAGAAGAGACACCAGCAGTGTCATTGAAACAACTTTTTTTGCTCTCCACTTTAGGAAAAGAAAAATTGAATTGGAAAAGCTGGCTATCTTGAGGAAATAAAATATGCTGAGACATGTAGCAAGCCAGATGCTGAAATGATTGACCACTGTCCAGGAAAAATTACTTATTCTCAAAATTCTTCCACTTATCCCTAAGGATGGATACAGCTCATATATCAATAAAACTATGACCAGTGACCACATAAAAGCAAGTCTGGAGATGGCCAGAGCAGTGAAGATCTTATCCACTGTAGAGATCTTTCTTCTCTTGCCCCAATCCATGATGTTCACCTGTATTATGAATCCATTTCCTAAACTCCCTATAATGATTTCCACACCTAAAATGATTGGTAATATGTACTCTACAATAACTTTCATTGTTACCAAGAGATGCTCAAAATTCTACTGTACTGCTAAAGGTTTAGTAATGTGATCTTCTAAAAGAACATGTCTATGTGATTCTTGAAAATTCAAAGCATAGTTGTTATGAATATCCATACAAAATGTCAAGCAAATATTAAAATTCATTAGTGACTTGGTTTATAGTTTTCTTCACAAAAAATAATATATTGTCCAAGACAGTTCAGAAGCACTTCATTTATGTCCGACATACTTTACACATAACAGCTGGAGGTTGTCTGTAGTTGATGCTAAAAGAAACAATGAATTTTCATTTGTGTCATCAAAAGTCTTATTTGTAGTGCCATAAATGTCTACTTATTAAATTTAGCTTCTAAATTTCTAGGCAAGCTAAAATTCAAGCTGGCAAAAAATAAGAATGACGCTAAATACATTAAAATAAAAATTCTATATGGGGGACATACTTTTATTTTCAAGGTTTTTTCCCTTAAGTTATTAGAGTTGCCTACTTATCTAATAGAGATAATTACTCCCCATGAATTCCTTGTACTGATAATACCGATCATTTTTCTAGATGATGCAACAAGGTGATGTATAATTAATTCTGCATGAAAATACAAATGTACACGAGTGGATAAATATAAAGTTAGACATACATCCTTTCATTTCTCTCTTCAGTAATTCCTATTTGCTATTAATGGATATTTATTATGCAACTAACTTATTCTGAGTACTGTGTTGGTGGTTTAGACATTGTGTAAATTACTTTCAGGTGTAAATGATGCAATAAATATTCTGTAAACATTTACCTATTTTATCCATGAACAAAAATGCTTTGGAAATATCCTTGTGCTACTTAACAGACAATAAGGTTACATAAATCAGTCTACACCAGAAGATTCCCCCTCACTTTCTGTATCTCTCTTTGTAGTACATCCCATTTCCCCTGTCAGTACTAAGGAGCTTCATTTGATTCCAATATATGCTTCATTACCCTCTCTGTAGGCAGCAATGAAAATGCATAATGGTGCAATGCCTAGGCAACTGGGAAATCGAGCATAGCATTAAAACATTCCTCAAAAGCTAAAAGATATTTTAAAAAAGCAATGACACAAACAGTACAAATACAGAAGAAAATATACATCAAACACTACAATTACTTCTGTGATTCTACTGGCAAACACTGTCCAGCACTTAAGAAGTTGATTCAGCTAGGCGGTGGTGGCGCACGCCTTTAATCCCAGCACTCAGGAGGCAGAGGCAAGCGAGCGGATCACTGTGAGTTTGAGTCCAGCCTGGTCTACAAGAGATAGTTCCAGTACAGGCTCCAAAAGCTACAGAGAAACCCTGTCTCAAAAAAAGAAACAAAAAAAAAAAAGAGGAAGAGGTTGATTTAGGAGGCTAGCAAGTCTGAAAACAGTCTGGTATACATGATCAGATCTTTTCTCAAAACAATAAGAACAAGAACAGAAGTCGGTAGAGATTGCAGAGAAAGACAAGGAATGTTGCTTGTTGATGGAACACAAACTCACACAAACTCAGTCACCTGCAGGAATGCTGTGTAAAAAAAGTGATATTCTTACGATTGCCCCACAATTGAGGAACAGCCATACTGAGAAAATTAACTAACCTGTCTATTGAAATGTTAAGATAAAGTGCTAAGGAAGGATAGAAGCATAAGCATACCATCACTGCAGAGACATGAAGGTCCTCTTGGCAAGGCTCCTTCCTTACAACACTGAGAAGACAGAAATATGCAAAACACCCTGGAATGGAGGTAGAGTGAGTGCTGCTCCTGGAGCTTTTCTTTCTGAGAAGTGACAGAACTTGTATCCACTGGGAGAGTAGCAATCACTCAGGGGAGGTTCTCCAAGCACCTCCCCTGCACATTCTGCTCTGAGTGGGAAAAAGGGACAGTTCCACCTGGACTGCAATTGCTGGGAAAGACAGAGTTTTGAAACAAGAAGAACAGCACCAACAGGTCCCACATAATTCCTCTACAGAACAAATGACAGATCACTTCCTAAGAAGCGTGGGTGTCCAAGTAAATTTTATATTTACATCTATGGCATATATTTACAAATCAGTGTATTTCATATTTTGATTAGGTACAAGTTTTATTGACTTACTAAATACAAGTAATTGAAAAGGGTTTAGCAAATCTAAACTCGCCCTGTGTACCACTTATTTATGTCACTACCTATGAATCTCCAATGCCTATACATGTCTTTTAAATAAAAATCAATTGGACTCTCAATTATAACACTCAAATTTACCAAAAATTTGAGAAAAAGCATTGAAACTCCTTTCTCCCTATTTTTTAAATTAGTATTGATTTTAGTATAATATTTCAGATTTAAAGTAAAATGGTGATTTCTAATGTAACAAAAATATTTAAATATGTATTATAGATTGGTGGATGATGATACATGATTGATGACAGATAATATAAGATAGATAGTTTATAAATATAGATATATAGCTCATACTTACATGCACACGTATATAAACAGATGATAGATTATAGAATCAACTTTGTTCATCTCTACAGAACTAGGTTCTCAGTAAGAAGACCATGTTACATGCCCAACAAGGTTATCATAACTGCTTAGATTTTTTTTGTCTGTTTATCTTTTCTTGTATACATAGATATCAAGTGTTGACACTTGATATTGGGCAACTGGTGTGGGAGGTTCTTCTGTTCATGTGTTGCTTTCATTCATTAATTAATAAAGAAACTGTGTTGGGCCTGATAGGGCAGAACTTAAGTAGGAGAGAAAACAAAACTAAATGCTGAGAAGAGGGAGAGAGTGAGAGAAGCCATGGATCCTCTCCCTGAGATGCATGCCTCTTAGAATCTCCGGTAAGCCACAGCCACATGGCAATACACAGATTTATGGGGATGGGTTAAACTAATATTTAAGTGTTAGCCAATAAGAAGTTAGAGCTAATGGCCAAGAAGTGTTTTAATTAATATAGTTTCTGTGTGGTTATTTCAGGTGTACACTAGCCAGGTAGCCGGGACAAACAAGCAGCTTTCCCCCTTGCAACAGGCAACCTCTCTGGAAGGTTGTTCCTGGAGAAGTCTGATTCTCCTCTTTCATCAGATATTTACCACCCATAATTCTTCCATCTAGAGAATAAGACCCTGTGAAATTTCCTGTTCATGTTGCCATGTCTACTAGTGTTGTCACTGTTTTTGTCAGATAACAATATTGTTGAGAGTTCATGGGTACAACTTCTTCTCATATACCATCTCATAGCAGATAAGAATAATTTTGATTCTTAAAATCTTTCTGTGTACTCATCTGTGATTTCCTCTAAGTCTTATTAGGTTGAAGAACCCAAAAACCCTTATTATATGCATTTTCAATCAGCTTTTGATTTCTGAAATCTTCCCCATCAGTTTCAAAAAGAAACTCCTGATAAAGAGGGAGAGCTATTCTCACGGTATACGTATGTTTATTTAAAATATGCTTAGAAATTACATTGGTTTAGGAAAACAGCAGTAGAAAGTTCTCCCTTCCAAGTACCTCCTCTCACTCCCTTCAAGTCTACCAGTTCCCCATCCCTCCAGTACGTTGTGCTAGTTAGTTTTGTGTCAACATGACACAGGATATAGTCAGCTGGTAATAGGAAACACCAATTGAGAAAATGCCCCCATACGATCAGGCTGTAGGCAAGCCTGTGAAGCAGGCTTATACGTGTGTATCTGTCTGTCTGTCTGTCTGTCTGTGTGTGTGTTTATTGGGGAAGGTCCAGTCCACTGTGGGTGGTACTAACCATTGCCTGGGGGCTCTGGGTTCTATGAGAAAACAGGCTGAGCAAGCCAGTAAGCAGCACCCTTCCATGGCCTCTGCATAAGCTCCTGCCTTCTAGTTCCTGCTCTGCTTGATTTTCTGTCCTGACTGACTTCCTCAGTGATGGACTACAATATGGAACTGCAAGTTCAATAAATCCTTTCCTCCCCATCTTGTTTATGTTAATAGTGCTCATTAAAACAGTAGTAAGACTAACTAAAATTTCCATAATCTAGTCTTAATCCTTATTTTATACAAACACATACACACATACAAACACACATAAACACATACACAAATATATACACATAAAACATACACACAAAGACACAAACATATATGCACATGCATATATATACAAAAACACATATACATAAATACATACACATACAAACCTACATACAATTATGCATAGATGTACACACAGAGACACAAATAAATACATATAAATACACATACAAGTGTATACACACAAAACACACATATACACACATAAAGACACAAACACATACACAAATGTATACACACAACACACATTATACACAAACAAATGCATATACATAACACCATGTGGCAAAATGTAGACTAATACAAATGGGTTAATTTAAGTTGTATGAACTAGTTAGTAATAAGCCTGAGCTATCGACCTTGCATTTATATTAATATTAGGTTTTTGTGTGTTTATTTGGGAGTGGCTGCTGAGAAAGTATGTTTACACACAAATACAAATACACACACATATATACAAACATATATGCACATATATAAACACAACCACATACAATCCACACACATGAACACCCATATACAAACACACATATACAAACACACAAAACATACACAACCACACACATAAACATGCACAAACAACACAACACACAGAAATACACATATACACAAACACATATGCATAAACACACATACATAAACACACTCACATACATATATATATATACACACACACAAATATACACACACAAAATCACACCACAAACAAACACAAACAACCTACACACTCATACAGGCACACAATGGATTCTGTTACTTAGTCTATTTAACTAGCTTGTGCTCTTTAACAAGCTAATAACATTAATATTATGGTTATTATTGAAATGTGTTTATTTATAGCTATCATCTCTGTCTTTGTTACTAACCCTATTTTGTGATTCAATAATTGCAGTTTTCTTTTCTGTAGAGTTTTGTTTTTATGTGAATTCC